ACTCCCCCTTCCCCACCACAAACAAAAAAATCTCAGCAAGCAGAAAAATGGTGTTTAGCAGACAACGGAGGAGGGTACGTGAGCAGTGATTTGGGGTACTGAAAAGTGATCAAGACCCATGCACAGCACTGTGGTTGTGTTTAACATTTTCAATTGCACATTTAAAATGGTCACGATGGTAAATACATTTAGTGTTCTTATTAACATTAAAAATATGACTATCTAGCCAAAATGTCAGATGTCAAAAATTCAGTAATGGTCTATGTAAATGTCAGATGTACTATTTTTCTGTATGAATGTGTTCTCCAATAAACAGAAGTGTATTTTAAAAATTCTACTAGTCCTAGATTCTGTATTTTCATGGTGCCTGGACATGATCTCAAATGAAGCTTTATATATGATATCTAGAAAATATTTCATAGTTGGGCCTAGTGGTACAGGCCTGTGTTCCTAGTTACTTGGGAGGCCAAAGTAAGAAGATCACAAGCCTTGGCTATAGAGGGAGTTCAAGGCCAGCTTGGTCTACAAAGGGAGTTCAAGGAAAGCCTGACCTACAGAGGGAGTTCAAGTCAAAGTTGGGCAATTTCATGATACATCATCTTGTAAGAAAAAGTAAAAAGAGAGCATGGATGTAGCTTAGTGATGGAATGTGGGAGGACAGAGGTCCTTGTGCTCACAGATAAGCCTTAGGGGAACCAGTGGTGTCGAGCACACAAGGTTGTCTCTCCAAGGGGAGAGACCTCTGACCTGTTTTCTGCCTTCTGGGAATGGATGTGGCTAATAGCCTGGTGACCTCTGTGCTATCTGTGAGTACAAGCCCACATCAGATCCTTGCCCAGCCCCTTACTATGAGCTTGTCAATCTATAGACCCATCTTTATGAAAGATGCTACAGTACTCTATAAAGAGTGTTGATGTAGTTGTGTCTTAAGCTTTATTGTGCTCATGGGGTTGAATTAATTGTCTCCCTTGAGCCCTGAGGCTGAAACTGATGAACGTCTAGTTCCAGTGTGACTGGGCCAGGCACACTGTAGCCTGGAGCTGGAAGACCACTGTGGAAGGTGGGTACTAAGATTCTATTTGAAAATCACTTTCTGAGAGGAGGGGAGGACTCTGAGAATGGGCTTTTCAATAAAGTGGAAACCTGCCCAAGGTGATGCAGGTCTCAGTCATGTTATTGGCTCTTCTGGAACCTGGAGTGCTCAGAGCAAGCATGAAGGAAGGGCAGATGCTGAGGCACCAGGCATGTGGAACCCAGTAACACAGTTAATCTGGTCCCTGGATCCAGACACTCTTTGATTTTGCAATAAGTGACACAAGTCAGTAAGTTCCCCACACTTTTGCCGAAGCCAGTTTAAATGTCACTGTAAACAAAAAGTATAACATAGCTCATTCAAGCCAGGTTTGGGAGTTAGGAAGCCAGGCATGTCAACACGAAGGCCAGCATTTCCTCCACTGCACATATGAAAAGCTTAGCCATGACCTGAACATATACTGTGTGTCCCCTAGACTTAAGAACCAGTGCAGGTGACTCGTGGAGAGCACATGACACATGGGTGAACAGTCACAGCCTCCCATCACTATGGAGGATAGAGGTACTGCAACCTGCTCAGCCAGGCTAGGTTCCTGGACCTTCATTCTGTTCTCCCCAGTGTTAGTCCAAAGTGGGCCCGCCAAAATGGTGGACAATATGCTGCTGACAATGTCCTAAATGACAGCCTGGGTTCAACTCAGGCTGGACTCTGACTGGGTAAATGGTAGGATTGCTACCAGGTAAATAAGAGCCCAAACTCAACATTCCTCAGAATTCTAGTGAAGGGGGTTTCTGTTTGTCAAGAAAAGACATTACTTCCTGTATCTACCCCACCCCAGAATGGTCTACTACCTTGGACAAAGGTCATCTAGTTCCTCATTAACTCAAACAGTCTGCAACAGGTCAAAGCTCTTATACTGGGTCCCAGGCTGCCCTGGCTCACACCCCTCCTTCACTGCCAACTGTCCCCATAAAGCTGACAAGGCTTTCCCAGTACACACCATTCTTTGCCCCTTGAGAAATAACAGCTCAACAGTTTGATTCCCCAAATAAACTGTCTTCCTACCCACATTGTGGTCTAGTTCGGTGGATTCACTGAGCCTTTGCCTATAACCCAGGATCTCATGAAAATTTCAGAAATGTGCACCTGCTCTCTATTCAGGAGATGTTTTTGTGTGTGTGCAGAGATTCAGGTCTGGAAATTTGATGGGCTGACATACTCAGACAGAAATGACTTGTAGCCAAATGCCAGAGTGACAATGTCACTGGGCTGCAATGACTTAGCAGTGAGAGAATGCTTTCCCATGTCTCAGAATCTGCTGCCCAATCAAAGTCTGTCTGGGGGGCATTTTCTAAAGAGCCTAGAAGAAGTGGGGTGGTGTTGCCCTATCTTGTTAGTTAGTGTGAAGATTTGATTGTTAGACACAAGACTCAAAATCAGTGTGTGTGTGTATTTGTGGTAGGAGATAGCTTGTTTGATTTAGAGTCCTCTGAGGACCTACCTGAGTTTGGCTCCCATGTGAAAACTGGGTGCAGTGGTGGGTGATTGTAATTCCATTGACGGGGAAACAGAGACAGATGGCTCCCTGGGGCCCATTGGCTAGGTAGTTTAGCAGAGTGGACGAGCTCCAGGTTCCTTGAGAGATTCCATCTCAAAAAACTAAGATGGAGAGGACAGCAGGATGGCTTAGGAGTCAAGGCGCCTGCCACCACGCCCGACAACCCGAGTTGAATTCTCAGAGACCACAGGGTAGAGGGAAGGAGAGCGTCAGCTCTGTCAGTTGTCTCGTACTCTTCACACATGCGCCACAGCAATGCTCCTCCCCCTAAAATAAATCAAATTTTAATTAAGTAAAAACAAAGTGAATGAGAGACACTGGATTGTAAAGAGAAGCTTTTTCCTTGAGAGAAACCTTCCCGCCGTCCTGGTTCTAGAGCCGCATCAGTCCCAAATAAACACACAGGAGGCTATATTCATTATGAAGCTGTTGGCCTTGCTTGTTTCTTCCTGGCTATCTCTGACTTAAGTAATTACCCCATGATTGTTAATCTATGTATTTCTCTTACCGGAGACGTTTCCGGGCTTCCTACCCCATGGTGTTACTTCTCAACTCTCCTGTGTTTCTCCTTCCCAGAGTCCTCCTGGACTCCTAGTCCTTCCTATCTTGGTTCCCTATTGGCTCAATAGTGCTTTATTGACATAAGACTTCCCCAACACTGGATGTCACCAACCTTTGGCATTTATGAATGTACATGCACCCAAACACACAACACACACAATAAGTAATGATAATAATCATAATAATAATTAATATTAACAAGATGAAATTTTGTTTCTGTCTCCCATGAAAGCTGCTGGCCTGACAGCTCTTCCCAGCTGTTCTCCTGAGCCCAGGATGCTGACTCCCACCTGCAGGTTTGAAGGTGAGGCATTCCTCTTTTAAGGGTATGCTACAGATGTCCAAAGAAGAGAAGAAGGCTCATCTGTTAAAAGCACCTACTGCTCAGTCATGACTAGTGAAGTTTGCATTCCAGGTTTCATATAGAGCAGCTCACAAACACCTGTAACTCTAGCTCCAAGAGATCTGATACCCTCTTCTGGCCTCTGAGGGTACATATACATGTGTACACACACTCACATATACACACACATCCATATACACACATAAAATAAATTGTCAAAAAACTATAGAATTTGAGTCTGGTTAACTTTGGTGCAAAATGTTTTTACTTTCTTGCAAGTTTTTAAAAAAATAATAAAGTTTATAAAATTAAAATAAAAAAGGAAATTGGTCAAGTTCCCTTGGCCAGAACTTAGTCACGTGACCACCCAGAGCCACAGCAGCTCATTATTCTAGGCAGCTGCATGTCCAGCTGAGGAACTGGAAGCCTGTTGCTGAACATTGTAGACTCTCACCTCAGACTCAATGATTTTGCCCAAGTGATTCTTCCATAAGGGTGTATGGACTAAGTAGCCCTTCTCTAAACTGTGATAACCAAAACCTGCAGGCATCAGTCAATGTCCCTATGAAGTCCAGGTGACCTTTGGCTGAGAACTACTACTGTGAAGGGAGATATGAGAAATAGGGAGATATGGACAACAGCTGTTTCTGCCAGTTTCTGGGGTGTTCTTTCTTTTCTCCTAAAAGGCAGAAGAGGGTGACACCTAAGAATACTTAGAATTCAAGTCGACCTGACTCCAAATTCCACCCTTGGTTCCATATGAACCATAATTCTTTCCTGAAGAAAAACTGACTCGGTTGCTAGGTGCATAGAAACAAGAGTTGGTAAGAATGTTCAGCACAGTTACAAGAATCCCTTCCCTGGGACATTAAACAACATCCACTCCTCTTAAGGTCTCAACAACAAACCAAAGTGTGATTCTAACAGAGCCCATCAAGGGATTAAATGTGTTCACTGGGCTTTCCTGAGCATGGATGAGGGGTTACTTTCAATTCTTTTTGAGATGGGGTTTCTCTGTGTAGCCCTGACTGTTCTGGAACCTGCTCTGTAGATCAAACTGGCCTCGAACTCAAGAGATATACCTGCATCTTCCTCAAACCTTGAGCCATGATTGACCTCAGAAACTCTATGTTGCCAAGGATTATCTTGAACTTTTGATTTTTCTACTTTTGTCTCTCAAATTCTGGGAGTACAGACACATGCCACCTCACAGCTTACACAGTTTCTGGATCTTGAACTCAGGGCTTTACGTGTGTTAGACAATCATTCTACCAACTGAGCTGCAACTCCAAGTCGTCAATAGCTCTTTGGATGTTTTTCTTTAATTAAAAGATTCTGGTTCTCCAAGACACATTACTGCCATCTGCTGAATTTGTCAAAGCAAAGACACAAATCTATGACATCTGTACAACAATGTGAACAACAGGCTGTAGATGCAGGCTGACCTTGCACAGTGCACAGCCCACTCAGCTGGGAGCACTAGACTCAATGTAGGGGACAGAAACTGCAGTCAGATGTTTATTGTATGGTAGTTCAATAAATAACATGGGTTCCTGGGATTGTGACCTTTGTGGCCTCTGGAATAGGGAGATGTTGGATGCCTGGAACTAACCAGTTTGGGTTGACAAGCACCAGGTCAAGAGAAAGGCTAAGTTTTTCTTTGTCTTGCTTCTTTTGGTTCTTAGGGTGAGTCCTGGTTCTTGATTTCATGGCCCCTGCAGAGGGTTGTTTTGAGGCTACCAAAGAGGGTGCCTTCACAATTGTTGTAGAGGGTACCTTCAGGTTATCTGCAGAGGGTGTCTTTATGGTTGATGCAGAGGGTGCCTTCATGGTATCTGCAGAGGGTGTCTTTATGGTTGATTCAGAGGGTACCTTCATGGTATCTACAGAGGATGTCTTCATGGTTGATACAGAGGGCACCTTCAGGGTATCTGCAGAGGGTGTCTTCATGGTTGATACAGAGGGTACCTTCATGGAATCTGCAAAGGGTGTCTTCATGAGTAATGCAGAGGGTACCTTAATAGCATCTGCAAAGGGTGTCTTCATGAGTGATGCAGAGGGTACCTTCATGGCATTTGTAGAGGATGCCTTCGTAACTGATATAGCAGGTACCTTCATGAGGTCTGTAGAAGGTGTCATCATGGTTGATGTAGAGGGCATCTTCATGGTATCTGTAGACAGCATCTTCATGGTTGATGTAGAGGGTACCTTCATGGTATCTATAGAGGATGTCTTCATGTTTGATGCAGAGGGTATCTTAATGGTGTCTTCAGAGGATGCCTTCATGACTGATATAGAGGGTACCTTCATGGTATCTGCAGAGGGTACCTTCATGATTGATTCAGTGGGTGAATTACTAGGAGAGCACAGGGTTGGGTTGATACTGTTTCTGAACCCATATGTCTGATCAATCAGTTGAAGCCTAGCTGTGGAATCCTCAGGGATGTAGACTTTTGTGGCCTTGGGAATAGGGATATGTTTCAGCAGCTCTGGGGCCAGAAGCTTTCCTACTGTAAGGGGACACAGGTCCAGGTGGTAGAAATTTTTAGGCTCAGAAAGATAGCACCCACAATTCTCTGGAGACTTCTTGGACCAATTTCCTACCAAGTCCGGCGTTTTGAGGAGGGATCCTTTGGACTTGTTGGTCTTGAAAGATTTGGTGATATGTTTGGGGGCTTCTGAAGATGTCTGGTACAGGATGTAGGTCAATGGCTTTGAGCCTGGGGAAATGTTCTTGGCTGTCATCATAGGGGGATGTCCTATGACTCGTTGAGTGACTTTAGTCTGGGTCAGGGATCACAGGAGGCAAGTGGTTCATGGGTGGTGGGTGTGATACAGAGGTCCCTGGAGATGCTGTCACTGAGTTGACCTCAAAGGCTACTCCATTCCTACAGGAAAAGAAATTTGTGATACTGAAGCAGGAATTCTAGGGAAACTCTCCCAGAAAAGAGGTTCTCTTTTTTCCTACTTCCCAATCATTTATCTAGTTATTCTTGCATTTATTCATATGTTCATTCATTCCCTTCTCATTTCCTTGTAGGTTGATTTATATATTCAACCATTCATTCTACACCATTAATTGACTCATACTTTCATTAATTTATCCAATAAATGCTGAACCTGTTGGAACTGGAAACATCTACAAGGGTTATGTTCATGCCAGTTATACTGACAAGGGCTTAACACTAGCTTAAGGGCTGGGGAGATGCTTGGTGGTTCAGGGATGGGGAGATGTTCTGTGGTTCAGCGATGAGAAGATGTTCAGTGGTTAAGAGCTCTTGATACTCTTGCTGAGAACCTGAGTTCAATTCCTATCACCCAAATGTCAGCTTAAAACCATTTATAACTCCAGTTCCAGGGAACTGGTCTCCATGGGCATCAGGCATGCATACAGTTCATATGCAGACATGCAAGTAAAATGCTCATACACATAAAATAAAAATAAATAAATCTTTTAAAAATTCAGCTTATACCTCTTAAAATTTTCCTGAGGAAAGTAATTATTATAGACTGAATATTTGTAACCCTACCCCATGTTCCTGTTGAAGACTGCATTTAGGAGGTGTCATGTAGCAATTTCTTTAGACCTGGAACGTTCCATGTGTCCTGGAGGTAAGCTCCTTAAGACTCAGAAAATTCTAAAGGGAGGATATAAAGACTGATACTGTAAAAAAAACTCTCTGGATTCAGGAAGCCCCTGAAACTTAACTGATTCACAAGGTTCCACTCCCTTCAAACTTATATGAATATCAGGCGTTGTTATATGAGCAGACACTTTGAGCACTCAATAGCTTTTCCTATCTAAAGTTCAAAAAATGCTACCACAATCCTACCAAAACACAGTTAGGTCTGTCACAGCAATGCCCCATGATCTGGTATCAATTTCTGTCATAGAGTTTCTATTGCTGTGGTAAAACACCATGACCAAAAGTAACTTGGTCAGGAAAGGGTTCATTCCATTCCACCTCTCAGCTTGTAGTCTGTCACGCAGGGAAGTTAAGGCCGAAACAGATGCAGAGGCCATGGAGGAGCGCTGCTTATTGACTTGCTCCCCATGAGTTACTCAGCCTGTTTTCCTGTGAACTAGGACCACTAGTCCAGGGGTGGCCCCACCCACAGTAAGCTGGGTCTTTCCATATCAATACTTCAGAAAGTGCCCAAAGACTTGTATACAGGTCAATCTTATGGAGGGGTTTTCTTAACTGAGGCTCCTTCTTGTCAGGTGACTCTAGCTTGTGTCATGTTGACAGGAAACGAGTCAGGCCAGCTGCTGAGGAGAGAAGGCTCTCCAACCGATAGAGCTGCCTGCAAGTTGAGTAAAGAGCTCCAGGGCTCTAACTTTATGAACTGTCACCTGTATTGGTGTGAGCTCATGGTGATACAAATTGCTCTTGTAGAAAAACCCCTTACTCATACTTTGTAGGTAATCCCAGTGAACTCATTGGTTTACCAAGTTAGACTTTGATCATACTGTTACTTTGGTCTGTCATTGGTTCTCTATCTGGGATGAGTTGATATTTGTTCGTGTTTTCCCGGGAAGGATGCCATACAGCAAGAGGTTATGGGGGTGGGGCCCTGTGGTGGGATTGTGTCTTAAGTAAGAAAAAGAAGGAAGACCAGAGTGATCTCTTCCTTTTTCATCTCCCCACCCCCACTCTGGCTCATTCCCTCTGCCACATAAGGACACAACATGAATACAGCCACAAAGAAAGCCTTACCTGTAGCAGAGCCATTTGGCACTTGCTTCTGTGTTTCCAGTCTTCAAAACTGTGAGGAATAAATGTCTTCCGTTTAAACCATTCAGTTTAAGGTGTTTTGTTACAGCAGCTTCAGCTGACTAATGCACAATTAAGATCACATTCTTATTTTTGTATTTTGGAGGAGGGTACTGGAGGTGAGGTATCTATCATTCATGTCAGGCAAGCACTCTAATATTGAGTTGCTTCCCAGCGCTAATGCCCGACTCCCCTGACTTCTCTGAGGCAGGGTTACTCTGCATAGCCCTGGCTATATTGGAACTCACTCTGTAGACCAGGCTGGCTTCTAACTCAGAGATCTAACTGCTCCTGCCTCCCAAGTGTTGGGATTAAGAGTATGCCACTACCACCCAGCCTAATTCCCCATTTTTATAGGTAAGCTGTTTTTACAGTTTGTGAATGCCCCCAAAGGCCCAGGTATTGAAGGCTGGGTGCCCAGCTTGTGGTGCCACTGGGAGGGGGCAGAACATTTAAGAGGTAGGGCCTGATTGAAGGAAGTTAGGTCGTTGAGGCATATCATTGAAGGGGATAGCAGGCCCTGTCCTCCCTTTCTGCCCCCTTCTCTCTGCTTCTCCCCTGACTCAAGGCAAGCAACTTCCTCTATCCTACCTTCCTCACTGTGATGTGTTGCCTTGTCACAGGACTGAAGATGATAGGGTCAAGCAACAAGGTCTGAGACTTCTGCAACCATGAGCAAAACGGACACAAGCATCTCTGTCTCTGTCTGTCTGTCTGTCTGTCTGTCTGTCTGTCTGTCTGTCTGTCTGTCTGTCTCATATGCTGAGGATGGAGTCCAAGTCCTGATGCTTTGTGTTTGAGTTATATTCCCAGATTTATATTCCTTTTCTTTTTTTCTCTTTCTTTTTTGATAGTATCTCCTGTGGCCTGGAACTTGCTATTCAGAGATCCACCAGCCCAGTCTCCCGAGTGCTGGGATTAAAGGCATGCATCACTATACCTGGTTCCTTTCATTTTTTAAAGTTGAGTATCTCAAGTATTTTGCCACAGCAATGTAAAGCTGACTAACATAGCATTCTCCACAGAGCTAGGCATCAGCAAAGCATGGTTTGGAATCCAGGCAGGTAGTTCTCAGAGTGTGACCTCTTCCCTGCTATGCTGGACCACCTTCTGAAAACAAGGCCACCTCTCTGTTCCCAAGCCACACTTTAATGGGGTAAGTACTACCCACTAAGAGATCAGAATACTGGGCAGGTCTAAGACTCAGGGACCTCACCAACTGCTGTGGGAATCATGGGGCAGGCTCTCTTACTTACCTGAGGGAGATGTGGGTGACATGAAGGTTCCCTTGTTTACTGGCTAATCATACCCTCCTTATCTGTGACATCAAATCCATGTCTGGAAGAGGTCTTCATGCACCTATGCAGTGACTTGATGACTCAGTCACCACTGAGCACTAACTGTGGCATCAGGGTTAGAGAAAGGGGAAAATTATCTCTGTCCATCTGGAGTGCACAATCCAGTGAATGAGACAGCAGGGTGGCCATGCACAAAGCCATTTCACACAGCTCCCCTTACCCCTCAGAGCTCCTGTCTTGGTCTTTGAGGCCCATGCTCCACGTAGCTGTGGGCTACAAGGGTCAGTGAGTTGGGAATCCTGGCTCTAACCTGCTTGGCCTCAATTCCATCAAGCTGTATATTCAGCTCTGAACCTTTATTTCCTAGTATCTAACATGGGATAGTGCTAGGTAAACTCTTAATGCTATTAATCTAGTCATCTCCCACATCCATTTTCCACTTTCTCCACAGTCAAGAAGTCTGATGGCACAGTGGCATATCATTTAAAAAATTTATTGCATTTTAAATTAACTCTGTGTGTGTGTGTGTGTGTGTGTGTGTGTGTGTGTGTGTGTGTGTGTGTACAGCATGTGAGTAGAGGCCAGAGGATACCTTGCAAGAGTCTGTTCTCTTCCTCCACCATGAGAGTGCTGGCAATCAAACTTAGTCAGGCTTAACAGCAGGTTCCTTTGCTTTCTGGGCCATTCACCAGCCCCTTGTCAGTGTTTTAACAAATGAATTGATTAGTCAGTTAATATCATTGTGTGTGTGAGAGTTTAGATGCGTGCATATGACAGCACATGCGTGGAGGTCAGAGGGCAGCTTGTGGAATTTGGTTCTCTCATTTCACTTGCTCTGAGGTAGGGTCTCTCTTGTTGCTGCTTGGCTGAGTGCTCTAGGCTAAGCTGGTCCTCAAGCTTTCAGACGGTTCTTCTGCCTCTGCCCCTCCCCTTGCCCTAAGAGTGCTGGGATTACAGACGCTCCGGCATCTGGCTTTTTATGAGTTCAGGGGTTCAAACTCAAGCTGTCTTTTACCTGCTGAATCATCTTGCAGACCCCAGCCTCACCACTCTTGTCCACCATTCCAGGCCTCCTTTTCAGGGAGACGTGGTGACTTGACTAAGTCCTCGTCTTTGGACAGTGAGCCCAAGTGTAGTGGGTAAACATAGGCATCTCTCACTTCCAAGCCAACTTCCTGCTCCACCCTCTCTCCTTCCCATGAGTGAGTGGCAGTCAGGGAGGGTACCATCTATGACATAGAACAAAGTGAAAAGAAATTTGACCCCACATGACTGTGTACTCATAGTCATTTCACTTGCCCAGACCACTAACCTCTGAAGCCTCCCAAAAGCTAGAAATAAAACCCCTAATGGTCTGAGCCATGTTGCTTTGGGATTTCTTTTTTTCCTTTTTTTCTTTGAGACAGGGTTTCTCTGTATTGTTTTGGAGGCTGTCCTGGAACTCACTCTGTAGACCAGGTTGGCCTCAAACTCACAGAGATCTGCCTGCCTCTGCCTCCCGAGTGCTGGGATTAAAGGCGTGCGCCACTAACGCCTGGCCTGGGATTTCTTTGTTACTTTGCACAAGTACATGGAATACAGGACATGGGTTGTCTGCGGTTTTATTATTCATTCTTGTCTTCCCTTTGTGTTAGCTTCTCCTGCCCCAATTTAGCTATAGATGACAAGCACTGTCATTTTGGGGTTTTGCCTACTTCTCTAAGAATGGGTTATCTCCCCGTGGGGCTCATCAGATGGGGAGCCAGTGTGACATCAGAAAGACGGTGGTAGAACCCCATCCCATTGTCAAGAGGCTACTGCATCATCTCCTCCCAAGAGGGGTGCCCTCCCAGAGTGTCCATCTTCACAGTGAGCAGAAACACACCTCGAATAATCACCATGGGAGGATAGTCTCGTGATTGTGGGATCCTTGCATCTGTGAAAAAAATAAAAATAGTGATGATAAATGAGAAAGTCTGTCTCTTCAAGCATATTCAACTCACTCTGGCCAGGTGGGTGATACTCACCCTCTCTCTCCTCTTTCCTTCTCTGTCTCCTTTCCACTTCACTCTCTCTCTCACTTTCCCAGGATCTTGTCGTGCCAGGAAAGCACTCTGTCATGGAGCTGTACCTCTGGCCCCTATCATTTTCTGCTTTGTTTTAAGACAGGGTTTCACACTGTAGTCTAAGCTGGGCTTGAATTTGTGATCCTCCTGCCTCAGCCTTCTGAGTACTGGGATTACAGGTGTGTACTATCTTACAGGTATGTACCATTGTATCTCCTTCTAGTGTTTTCTGGCATGCATGAGTGCGCACACGCACGCAAGCGCGCACGTGTGTGTGAGTGTGTGTGTATACATGATGCACACTTGGAGGTCAGAGGACAACTTGCTTAGAGTCAGCTCTCTCCTACTGTGTGGGTCCTTGGGAATCAAACCAAAGTTATCCGACTTGGCATTTTGACTGTAAGTGTACTTATCCATTGAGTTATCTCACCACCACCCCCTCTTTCAGATATAGGGTCTCCTGGTGTTGACCTATGAACTCCTGGGGCACAAACCATCCTCCCACTTGACCTCTGGAATTGCTGGGCCTACTGGGGCATGCCATCATGCCCAGCTATTATTAACCCATCACCACTTAACAAATGAGGAACTGAGACACAGACAGCACAGCAAGCCCAAGATCATACGGTCTGCAAGTGGGAGAATGGAGTAGGCATATGCTCTATAGTACAATTTCACTGATGCAAAATTCAGTTGCCGCTGGGCGGTGGTGGCATACACCTGTAATCCCAGCACTCGGGAGGCAGATGCAGGCAGATCTCTGTGAGTTTGAGACCAGCCTGGTCTACAAGAGCTAGTTATAGGACAGCCTCCAAAGCCACAGAGAAACTTACCATGAACTCACAGGGAATCCACCTGCCTTCCAAAGTGCTGGGATTAAAGGCATGTACTTCCATGCATAGCCTAAATGACACTTCTTTAGATGTGTCTCATGCCCATAGAGAAAGAATTCCTTCCTCCTTATTGTTCCAGGAATACATGTGGCTTAGAAATGAGACGGGAGAGATGGCTTAGTGGTTAAAACCACTGACTGTTTTTCCAGAGGACCTGGGTTCAATTCCAGCACCTACATGGCAGCTCACAACTCTCTGTAACTCTAGTTCCGGGGTACCTGGCACCCTCATAGAGACATACATGTAGGCAAAAACACCAATGCAGATAAATAAAAACTAAAAAGAAAAGAAATGAGACTTTGCGAATCTTAGGTCAGGCCTTCTGTGTGTGTTGGCTTCTCAGGTATGAATCAGGTCAAAAGCCATGGCCCAGGGACTGGTGTGAGGCTCCATCCGTAACATGCTTGCTGCATAAACATAGGGATCTGAGTTTGGGTCTCCAGAACCCACACAAAAGCTGGGCACTGCAGCACTGGGGGAAGAGACTGATGGGTCTTGGGTTCACTGGCCACTCAGACAAATCAGTGAACTATGAGTGAGGGACCTTGTCCTAAAAAACGAGGTGGAAATCGATAGAAGAATACACCCAGCATCTAACTGTGGCCTTCACACATACCCATACGGATGAATGCACACGGCTATGTGTCCCCACTAAGAGTGTAAAAGGTCTTTTTCATAGTGTCATCTTCAATACCAGGTATTTTTCTGTCCTTTTACCTTCTATTCATTGTAAGGGCAACATGGAACTTTTTGTTGCTGTTTACACTTCTCTTTCTCTTACTGTGGAGTCCAAGCACTGTTTCATGTGGCTACTGGACACTTGGGTCTCCTCCAGGGACACTTTGGAGCCTCAGGGGCTGCACAGCTCTGACAAACATACTGGAGTCCCATTTTCGTGTTTCCTAATATTTGCATACCTTTCCTCCTAATGCCTTCTCTCAAAAAGCCAGACCTGGCTGGCATCTGCCTGTGCCTGATGAAGGGCACTGAGTCTCTTTGTAGTCATTCCCTGTAGTTGGAAATCATATAGAACAAATTGCAGAGTGCCTGGAATAAATATGTCAGTATTTCTAAACTGTGGTGACTGGTTGTTAATCTGGTGCCTTGCTGTGGGCCAGGTTCCTGAGAATGACTGCTCGCAGGCTGTGGAGGCTGTGTGATCTGGCAAACCTGCCCCCAAAGCCTCATTTGGAAGCTGTAGAGTGCAGCACTGCCTCTCAAGACATATATTGGATATGATGTCTGTGTGAGTCAGGGGCCTCTCGGTGGCAAAGAACTTGTAAGATCCAGCATTACCTCCCTGTCCTCCATGACAGATAAATTAACCTTCCAATTACCTCAAATACCCTGGGCCTTAGAGACTGGTCTGAGCCTGACTCCCATCCTCCCTCCCAACTCAGCCATCACTGATTCTATTTCTGCTCCCTGAGAGCAATTGCTCCTGGTTTCTTGAGTACGATCACAAAATTTGAAATCAGAGAGTTCTGTACTGGAGTAACGACTTCATTCTCACAGTCTGAGTGCTATGTGCAATGACATACACAGAGAAGACTTGACAACTCTATCTATCTATCTATCTGTCTGTCTATCTATCTATCTATCTATCTATCTATCTATCTATCTATCTATCTATCTATAGACTTAGTTTCTCTGTGGGATGGTCCTGGCTGTCCTGGAACTCACTCTGTAGACCAGACTGTCTTGGAACTCACAGAGATCCACCTGCCTCTGCCTCCCAAGTGCTGGGATTAAAGACGTGTGCTACCACCTGGTAACGAGTTGCTTTCAGACAAATTACTCCTGGGGCCTGAGAGATGGCTTAGTCAGTAAAGTGCTTGCTGCTCAAGCCTGGGGACCTGAGTTCAAATCCCAGCCCCCGTGTGAAAGTCAGACATGGGAACACACTGTCTGTAACCCCAGCATCGGGGAACAGAAACAGGTGTCCCTGCCACTCACTGACTGTCCAGTCTAGCCAAATCTATAACCTCCAGGGTTGATAAAGACTCTGCCTCAAAAATAAGGTGGAGAAGCCGGGCGGTGGTGGCGCATGCCTTTAATCCCAGCACTCGGGAGGCAGAGGCAGGCAGATCTCTATGAGTTCGAGGCCGGGCTGGACTGATAGCCTCCAAAACAATACAGAGAAACCCTGTCTCATAAAAACCCCCCAAAAAAAGGTGGAGAGCAACTGAGGATTTCTGGCCTCTAAAAGCACACACACACACACACACACACACACACACACACACACACCAGACATTTCAGATGTGGTCTTTTAGTATTTTGAAGATGTCATGGGATTCAGGGCCTTGCACATGGTGGACAAGTGTCTTACTACTGAGTTGCATCCCCAGTACCATCAAATATGGTTCTCAGACTAGATAGCAGGAATAGGTTTGTGTGAATGGAGAGCCTCAGGCCCTGTTCCCTTCATACTTCTGCCTTAGCACATGTAAAATTCCTGGAGTTGGAGACCCTGCTTCATTTCTCTTGAGGTTTCCAGTCATGTCTAGCTCCTGGATTGTTGTTCAGCAAATTGTTAAGTGCTGACGACTTGGCACAGTTTAGTGCAAATGTTTTTCAAACTTTTTGGTGTGTTGGGAAAAAAGTTAGTGGATGGTAAACATTTTAAAAATATTTTTGATTTTTAACATTTTTTTAAAAGCTAGAAAAAGATTCTAGAAACATGGGAGACCAGGGAGCTTCACTGGACATTAGACCTGAGAAATGCAATATAGCTGAAGCACAAGACAATCATGAATATGCACAAGGGCCTTAAAGGGAATATGAACAAGTCCATTAATGAAATCTATGAAATCACTGTAAAACAGTGGAATTAATGATGAAAACAGACTTGCAAGTGGAAATAGGATAAATAAGGAAAAACCAAACTGAGGGGAAACTGGAAATGAAAAATTTAGAAATTCCAACAGGAGTCAAGCCTCACAAACAGAATTCAAGAGATAAAAGCAAAAATCTCAGGTATTGAAGACAAGATAAAAGAAACAAATACCTCAGTTGAAGAAAATGTTAAATATAAAAAATAATTAGAAAATCCAGGCATAAAACATTTAGGAAATTTGGGACATTATGGAAAGATCAAATCCACAAATAATAGGAATAGATGAAGGAGAAGAAACCTAAGTCAAAGGCACATAAAATATTTTCAACAAAATCATAGAAGAAAATTTCCCCCATCTATGGAAGGAGATGCCTATTAAGATATAAAAGCATACAGACTAGAC